TTAAACATTGAACTTATTCAATGTGTGACATCCAAGTGAAGGCGTCCAGTAAACTTTTGGGTACATTGGTCCTTGTACAAGTTATTTGACCTCTCTGCACCTCAGTTTTCTCATCTGTAAAATGGTGATATAACCCATCTTAAAGGGTTAACACAAATTAGAATTTTTACACAGTACTATGCTTATATTGGGCACTCAAGAAGAAATGAGTGGGAGGATCTCTTGAGCCTGGGAGTTCAAAGCTGCAGTGAGCTATGATCACAACACTGCATATCGGCCTAAGGGAGAGAGTGAGACCCTGTCTCAAAAAAAGGAAGGAAAGAAGGAGAAATGAATGAAGAAATTAATACCTATAATATTATTCATAATCTTGGCCACAAAATTTGGAGTTTGATTATATATTTCCTTTTGAGATCTAGGAGTTCTAACCAGGCATGGTAGCACACGCCTGTAGTTTTGGCTACTTGGAAGGCTGAGGCAGAAGGATCGTTGAAGCCCAGCACATCAACACTGGGGTGGCTGTGAGCATGCCACTGCACTCCAACCTGGGCAAGGATGAGACTCCAACAACAACAAAAAATGATCTAGGAGTTCAGGCCAGGCTCGGTGGCTCAGCCTGTACTCTTAGCACTTTGGGAGGCCGAGGTGAGTGGATTGCCAGAGCCCACAAGTTCGAGACCAACCTGGCCAACTTGGCGAGACCTCGTCTCTACAACAAACAAATATTAGCCGGGCGCGGTAGGTGCACCTGTAGTTCTGGCTGCTTATAAGGCTGAGGCGGAAGGATCACCTGAGCCCAACAGGTCGATGCTGGGGTGGCCATGAGCATGCTACTGCACTCCAGCCAAGGCTATGGAGTGAGACTCCAACTCAAAAAAAAGATCTAGGAGTTCGATTTATTTATGCAGTCTTTATATGTAGACTCCATATTTAAATTTATCTGTGATAGGAACTCTCTCTTTTGTCCCTCTTCATGGTGCCTTATCACAGAGTGGACACTTGAGAAGATGTTGCTAGAGCAAACTGTCAACTGTGGGAGTGGACTGGACCCAAGCATGGAGAACCCTCATCCTCCTCCTGTCATCTCCCTCCCAGTAGGTGGTACCACCATCCGCTAGATCACTCATGCTAGAAATCTGGAATTATCTTCTACTTCTCTTCCTCTTTCTCAATTCAGGCATTTTGACAGTCATCAAATTCCAATATTTCATTTGCCATGCTTTTCTCAGAACCTTCTTCTTCCCACATTCTACCACTACCCTGGCTCAGGCTTAGTCTTCCCTCATCTACATAATGGCAAAAGCTTTCTAGCTGGTTTCTTTTTTTTTTTTGAGTTGGAGTCTCACTCAGACGCCCAGACTGGAGTGCAGTGGCCGCTCCCAGCCACCGCAGCCTCGACCTGTTGGGCTCCGGCGATCCTTTCCACCTCAGCCTTCTGAGTAACCGGAATTACAGGCATGCGCTACCATGCCCAGCTGATTTTTTGACTTATTGTAGAGATGAGGTCTCGCCACCCAGGCGGGTCTCGAACCTGCGGGCTCAGGCAATCCACTCACTTCAGCCTCCCAAAGGCGCGGGATTACAGGCTGAGCCACCGAGCCCGGCTTAGCTGGTTTCTTTACCTTCAGTCTGTCCCCACAAATCCATCTTTCAAACAGTCCACAGAGTGGAGGTGTCTAGAATACGAATCTGACCCAGCTTCCCCTTTAAAATCTTCCTGATGGGCTCCACTGCTTAGCAAGACAGATGAGGCCTCCTGGGACCTAGCCCTGCCTGTGGTTCAGCCTCATATTCCATCTCTCCAGCCTCATCATTTCCCACTTCCATCCTGGAATGTTGTGCTCCAGCAAGAGAGGTTCTACCATGTCTCCCTTTTGTATTTGCCTTCTTGACCTTCTCGGGCTGTACTCTCTGCAAGAACTACCTTTTATTTTCCCCTGGCTAACTCCTCATCCTTTAAAAGTCAACTCAATCAAGTATGGTAGCTCATGCCTGTAATCCCAGCACTTTGGAAGGCCAAGGAGCAAGGACTGCCTTAGCCTAGAGGTTCAAAACCAGCCTGGGCGACTTGGCAAGACCTCATCTCTACAATACATAAAAAATTAGCCAGGCATGGTGGTACATGCCTATAGTTCCAGCTACTTGGAAGCCTGAGGCAGAAGGCTCACCTGAGCCCAGCAGGTGGAGGCTGTGGTGGTCATGATCGTGCCACTGCAATCCTGGGTGACAGAGTGGGACTCTGGATCAAAAATAAAATAAAATAAAATAAAAATAAAAGTCAACTCAGTTATCACTCCTCCAGGAAACCTTCCCTGCCTCCTCCTCAACACCTCTTTTCCAAAGCAGGATTAGGTACCCCTTTTCTGCAGTCTCATAATGCTCTGTGTATAACATCATCATTGATCTGACCGTATTCCTTCATATCTGTTTAAAAGTCTGTCTCTCCCACTAGTGTTTAATCTCCATGAGGGCAGGAGTTTATGTTTTTATCTCTAGTATCTAGAGATGCTCTAAGTAGATTCTCAGTCAATATTTGCTGTTTGAATAAATTAGTATGAATTCTCAGAGTCACAAAGACACCAATAGGCTGGGCATGGTGGCTTACTTTGGGAGGCAAGATGGGAGGATTGCTAGAGCCCAGGAGTTCGAGACCAACTTAGGCAACATAGTGAGACCTTGTCTCTACAAAAAAAATTGTAAAAAGTCATCTGGGTATAGTGGCACACACCTGTAGTTCCAGCTACTCGGGAGGCTGAAATGGAAGGATTGCCTGAGCCCAGGAGGTGGACTGCAGTGAGCCATGATCATGCCATGGCACTCAAGCCTGGGTGACAGAGTGAGAAACCTACTCAAAAAAGAAAAAAAAAAAAAAAGCAAAGACACCAACTGATATATACATATAAATATTCTCACCATCTCCCAAGGAACAGAGCCAAGCATCTGTGCTCTCTGGAACTCAACTTACTTCAAAATGCAAAGTTATACATAGTTGGATGCAGTGCCTCTTGAGATTAAGGGGTCTACCAACTGGTCCTGAGAAGCTACACAAGGCTCTTTGTATCTCTCTCTCTCTCTCTCCTTCTCATCTACTCCTCCGTGTGTGTGTGTGTGTGTGTGTGTGTGTGTGTGTGTTTATTACTAGCACTTGGGGTTTTAACTCATCTTTAGAGAAACAATATTAATTTAACTCATCTGAAGAAGCAGAAGACATGATAGCCAGAAGGAGGAGAAGGAGGAGGAAAAGAAGAAGAAGTAGTAATAGTGTCGGGTGCAATGGCTCACTCCTGTAATCCCAGCACTTTGGGAAGCAGAGGAAAGAGGATTGCCTGAGCCCAGGGGTCCGAGACCAGCCTGGGCAACTTGGTGAGACCTTATCTCTACAATAAATCAAAACATTAGGCAGGCATAGTGATGCATACCTATGGTTCCAGCT